AGAGGGGGTGAGAGAGAGGGGGCGTGGGGAAGTGGGGGAGGGAGAGAGTAAGGGGGAGGTAGGAGGGAGAGAGAGGGGGGGCGGAGGTCAAAAGAAAATATATTAAAAATCTGTCGGATATTGATGACCCCTTTTTTATCTCCAGCTAAAATGAAAAGAAAAAAAAACATTAAAAGTAAAAAAAAATCGTTGTAGTTTGTGAAAAATATGAAAAATACGAGAAGAAATTAATAAAACACATTGGTGAATTAACAGATGAAACACGTAAGTAAATAAATTAATACATAGATCACAATTAACTTTTACATACTATTGTTTATCACAGCAAAAGGTTTGGTAACATTTCACAGTTGTTTTCCATTTTGGTTCCCGCTAGAACTGTCTTACCTGTGGAACAACCAAACTAACTCTCTCCTAAACATTTCCCTCACCACAATAGATCATTATCATAATACCAATAACTTCAGAGAAAAACACTCGAGGCATTTACTGCAAAACCTCTGAGGTGAAGCTGTTTGTTGTAGGGGGTGGGAACATTGCAGACGGTAAGAGACGTGTCAAGGTCTGGTGAGAGGTAGAGGGGGGAGTGGGAGGGGGTCTATAGCATCTTGCTTGCTTGCGGTGTCTGATGTAGGCCATGGCTGGTGGTGGTGTGCGGTTAGGTGGCTGACATGAGGAGTAGTAACAGAAGGTAAACTATGAGAAAATACAGTTCAGGGTTTTGCGTCGCCCTCTTTCCAGTTGTAGGTTAAGGTGGCAGCGTGGTAGACATATTGAACAGACAAACAGTATTTTTACAGCTTCTCTATGGCTTTGAATTACTCGGTGAAACGTTCCAAGATATTTTACTTGATTGAGCCAGAAATAATAAGAACTATAGTTGTATTTATTGACATGTAAAAATCTGACCACAAAATCAAATAAAATGATAATCTGTCTTGATTTAGGAACTATTAGTCAAACTAAGTATTTTATTTCTATCACTTAACGTTGGGCATGACAGTTGATGCCATCACTGGTCAGGTGCCGACTGTCTGGCTGGTCAAATATTGTCAAATGATGGAGAAGGAATACTTATTGTAGGCTAACATGACATAGACATTAGTTTCTGTGTTATGTAGTATTTGAGTATTATAGCACTTGCAAATAAATAAACAAACAAATATACTTAACAAATAAACATATGTGACGGCTACTCGACAAATATTAATAGATAAAAAGATGACTAACGACATTTGACATAACTCATCTGGAACCTAAGAATCGTTCAATAAATACCTGAATTTATGCCATAATCCCAAAGTTCCTCTTCTTGTTCAGTTACACATAATAACAAACCTCTTTCCCTTAGTTCCAGGACCCTGAAACCTAACGTAAATAAACCAAGCGAAGAGACACAGCTACACAGTCTACAGCAATACTCACACACAGTACTGATGCACATTGTAATTCCTTTCAGGTGCTGGGGAGGGCGGGGCGAGTAGAAGACCGACTCAGCTCGCCACCAGAGGGCATCACCATACACCGGGAAGTCTCTGGTGTTGAAAATTACCCAATAGTAGAAATGGCGAGTTGTTGGCCGCTAACAGGCAAGTTTGTATCATTAGGTGAGAGGTGGTAGGGGTGATGGTGGAAGGTGTGAAGGTGAAGGTGGGGGTGGTAGTGGAGGTGTGGTGGTGGTGGTAGAGGGGGGGAGGTGATGGTAGGATGGTGGATAACAGTGGTGGTGGTAGTAGGGATGGTAGTCGTAGAAGTAAGGGTTGTGGTGGTGGTCGTGGTAGTAAGGATGCTGGTGATAGTGGTAGTACGTGTGGTGGTTGTGCTGACCCAAGAGGACCAGATAGAGAATGACCACCTCAACCAGACCATACTTTTGACAATATCATAGTTCATATTCACTTAAAATCAACAATCTAAAGAATATACGCAAACATACACCATAACCTGTGAATAAAGTATACAGTTTGTTGTTCATACATCTTAAAGTATACAATCACGGTACACAGAATAGCCGATATATGGATTATACACAAGAATAACATAAAAAGTAAATATGAATATATAAATCACCCAAGACATAATTTATTCAATACAACGCTACAGTGTGGTTGAAAATAAACAAATTATTCATATACAGGTAGATTAATTGACGCTTCAGTTCATTTGTGTGAAAAAAAACACGAACTTTGACAGTGGACTGGACAACCATTAGGCAGACTAGGATGTTGTGTGTTATAACAGAACTCGGTAACTCCGCTTGCCACTACCATGATACATCAATGAACACTCCCTTCTCAGTCACGTAATGGCTTAATAGCTCAGAAGACATTGAAATTAATCAGGTTACGGTTTTAAGAGACGATTATTTATTGTTTATTTGCATACATTACCGGGGAGATTTTGTAATACACCTGTGTACACCTGTCGGGCTAAGAATGTATCTATCCATTTATCCATCAATTATGTGTATGTTTATGGATGGATGGATATATGTACTTATCTATCTATCTATCTATCTATCTATCTATCTATCTCAAACCTAATCTTTATTGGCAAGACAAAAGCCATACACTTCAGCAAGAATCTCGGAAGTAAACTTACAAAGAAGAATGTTATTTCTTGTGTAATTACCTGAAGGAGAGATAGAGAGAGAGACCCACCAAGCTCTCCGATCTCTCTTCGTCTGTCTCCTTTAGTTCCGGGTTAATTACGGAAGAGAATTATCCTGATATCGTGCGTCTTTAGGTGAGGGTTACAGTATGGTGTAATTTTTTCCACCCAATATTTGTGATAATTGATAGAAAGTTTAATTGGCCCTTAATAAAAGTTAGTTTTTTTTAAAGGTTGATAAGAATAAAGTGTTACATATTTTTTTTCTATTTATTTCTCTCAAATCAACAACTTCACGTCTTTGTTTATTCTATTTAATTTTTACCTTATAAACAATATCTTTATAAGTTAATCTTCCTCTCTTATAAGAAATACCTTCATGTGTGTTAGTATCTTAATTAACTTCCATAGTTCACCAACATCCACCTTAAACAGTCTTATTGTCGTGATGTTTACCTGTTCCTGGAGGCAAACGGAAAATCCAAACAGCAACAACATGGTCAAACATCTCACTTGCTATTTTTCTCACTTAATAAGATTACACAATAACCTTTATTCAGGGAGGCGGGTCCGGTGCTAAGAAATTGCCCCCAGTGTTTCCTTAGCCTACTTTACCCTACCCTCCCCCAACACAGCTACAGCTTCAAAATAAACTAATCCTCAGCAAACGGGCGCTCCGCAGTTCCCCTTTACGGAGTCCCTAAAACATTCAAGGTAATCACACAGACGAGAGGCTCGGGAGGACGTGTGTGGGGGAGGGGGTGGGGGAGGATGTTGTGTAGGGCCTGGAGGTGGCACGGCTGGCGGGGGTGAAGGAGGTGAGGAGGGAAGAGAGTAAGAAGAGAGGTTTAGGAGGTGGACAAGATGAGAGGGAGAAGAGATAAGGTAGGTTGAGAAGTGGATAAGAGGAGGGAGAGAGGATAAAGAGGGGGGGGGAGGAGGAATGGTCGGTAGGAGAGGAATTAGGGATGATTATACCGGTCGGTCTTAATCAACTAATAGGAGGAAGGTGATGAGGTGTTCCTACAGGTGTACGAGTAACACTGTTAAGCCTCGGTATCATTGGATTACTATACCACACTGTCCTTGACCCACACTCTGTACCCATGTACCATAGCTACAGTACCACCACACCACTATTCCACTATACCTGAATTCTGTTCCATTGTAACATTGGACCATTATACCTGTACATCTAGATGATTAATAGGATGTTCATGGTGAAGTTAATGGTGCTAATGGATGCTTCTGGACAGGTGATGTACTTAATGGTGCTGAGGTCAGGGGATGATGTGGATGGTAGTGGTGGGAGCGTCAGTGTTAAGTGGTGGGAGTATTTATTGGGCAGGTGGTAAATGAAAGGTGATAAGTGGCAAAAAAATCCGACCAGGTAAAGGGTTAAATACCATTCACTGATGATATAATAATGGGGGTAAATAATTAGTGGATATTAAATGGCAGGTAAGTGGTTTAATCAGTGGGCAGGTGGCAAAGGTAGTGTGTAAGAAAAATATAGTACAATAAATATATTAGGTACACATTTGAGTGTGGTAGTGGCGATGGGGAATGGGGGGGTGGTGAAAATACTAATGGCTAAGTAATGGGTTGACTGAGTGGGCAGGTGGCAGGTACTGAGTGGGCAGGTGGCAGGTACTGAGTGGTAGATGTGTCAGTGGGTAGATGGCGTTAAGTTCGGTAAATAAACATTACTGGCAAAGTGCTGGAGGGTGAGTGAGAGGGAGGAAAAATAACATGGGTATAGATGAACCTAATTCTCTTAAAAGTGTCTAATGTCCGTCCTGTGTATAAGTGAGTTGATTCCCTATATCACATTAAGTATTTTGTTTACACTATTAATATGAAATTTACATACAAATTCTAGACTTTATAAGAATCAATTTAAAGTTTACCCGAAGACTTAAACTATTAATAAAATACGAAGATGACTAATTCTCTGTATGAAAAAAAAATCGAGATTAAAAAAAAAGTCTAAAGATAACAGCAAGAGCAACAGCCCTTCATCTACAACGACGGTAAGTGTTGGAGGAAATCGGAGTGGTGGTAGGAGAGTGGAGGGGTCGTGACTGGTGGAGAAGGAGGAGGAGAAGGTGGAGTTGAAAGGCATGGGGGAGGGGATGTGTGGGAGGAAAGGGGGTGGGGAGGGAGGGGGGGGGTTGTGGGATTGGGATTTCAGAGGGCCGTGGGGAAGGGAGGTCGTGAGGTCAGGTGATGTGGTTACCATCACCTCTACTATGCCCCCGTGCTCTCCGCCTCACCTGGTTAGCCCCGCCCCTCCCCGCCCCTCCCCGCCCATGAACCTTGGCCGTGAGAGGGAAAGTGAGGTTTAGGAGTTATATATAAACGTGAGGCAGACCATTAGCCTCACACATCACCATCAACGTTGTCATAGCAGCCATGGCTTTCAAGGTACCGTACACACCTGCCTCCTACACCTGCCTCCTACACCTGCCTCCTACACCTGCCTCCTACACCTGCCTCCTACACCTGCCTCCTACACCTGCCTCCTACACCTGTCTCCTACGCTTATCTCCTACATCTGTCTCCTACACCTGCCTCCTACACCTGTCTCCTACACCTGCCTCCTACACCTGTCTCCTACACCTGTCTCCTACACCTACCTCCTACACCTACCTCCTACACCTGCCCCTTACACCTGCCCCCTACACATGTCTCTTCATTACAGCTGTGTCATGAATGTGCCGTAGTATGCTGAACTGTAGGGGTACAGTAGTAAGTGTAGTAGTAGTAGTGACTGTACCGCATTTTACTGTATCATCTACAGTAATGTTATGAATGTATTATGAGTTATTGTAATGGATGTGCTCTAGTGTGCTGTAATGCCTGTATTGTGATAACTGTACAGTGAAATTCTATGATGACTGTACTCTTACGTTACTCTAGTGAATGTAATCTGGGATACTGCAAGGTAAGTAAGTTTGTATTTTGTAATGAATGAACTACGGTTTACGATAGAGAAGAGAACGTTTCAATTGGAAGTGTAATGATTGAAGTTTGATGTAATGTGTAATGAATGAACAAATGGGTTGTCTAATGAATGAAAAATAGTTAGGTAATATAACAGATGCATACAAAAATTAGTATACTGTAAAGGTTGAATTATGGTGTGTTGTATTGCATGAGTTGGATAATACATCTGATTTATTATTATTATTATTATTATTATTAAAGCTCATTATTTTGTTTCTCTTTCTTGATAGTTCGTCGTGCTGGCCGGCCTGGCCCTTGGTGCCCTAGCTGACCGCGCCCCAGTCTACCCTTCATACTCCCCTCCTGCTGCCTCATACCCTGCCCCGCCCACTTATGCCCCACTACCACCAAAATACCCCGCCCCATCCCCATATGGCAAGGAGCCTGAATACCCCACTGTAAGTACCGTTTGTTTTAGCCAGATACTCACCTGTGATCTACATCTACAGTAACTATCATTTATTGGTCACAAAACACAAATATAATATAATATATCTAGTATTTCTGTAAAGCTATAAATTCTATTGAACCTCTTTAATATTTCTTTGTTAGTTTGTTTTTGGTTGGAGAAATAATATATTCGTCAGTATTATGAGTACATGCTTATCAACTGAAGGCAACAGGGGTTAAATTTCTCGATTATTTTTTTTAGTCCTTTGGCTAACTGAGTACAATGCCTTGAGTACAATGACTTAAGTGAAGTTTATGATTTTTTTTCTGTCATTTTCATGTGACCAAAAACACTCCTTTAGTTCTCAGAAAGGAATGACTAAAGTTTTGAGATGTTAACTTAGTCCAACATCTCCATAACGAATAACTTAAGTAATGTTTTCGTCAACTTTCTTCATTGTTTATATTGAGTCATCAGATTTGTCCTGCATATATCTTTGCTTCCTCATTGTTGACTGACACATAGTCGTGGGTAATCCCCGTCTACTTGTGATTGTGTTGCGTTCGAATTCCGCCATGGCTGTTGCAACACACACCTGGCTGGCTGACTGGTGGCTGGCTGGCTGGTGGCAGACAGAACTAGAGAAAGTTAGTTCAGCACGGAAAGGCGAATTGGATCAATGAACACTAAAGGAGATATTTATAGGATAGGGTCTATGTTTCCTTGAATTAATTTACCTTCACGCGCCTGTAAGAACTTAGTACTTGTTGGAGATAAATATCCATATTTATATCTGTTTATATCATGCGGTGCCCTGCTTTAGTCCTCACTGATCATATATTATAATTATTCTGAACAAGTTGGAGTATCAGCAACAACTTGTGGTGAGGAACTATAAAACTGCCTTCCATTGCCCAACAATTACGGTGTCCTCGCTGTGGTCAACAAGGTCTGGTCTCACTCACAAAGCCATTATCCCAGCCACTATGTTTATATTGTATGTCTATTTGGAACGATATGTCTTTCAAATACATTTTCACCCACCCAGGCCCCCCCTAAGTACGCCTACAACTACGATGTTGCCGACCACTACTCCGGCGCCAACTTCGCTGCTTCCGAGGCCCGCGACGGCTACAAGACCGAGGGCAGCTACACGGTGGACCTCCCCGACGGCCGAACACAGACCGTCACCTACGTGGACAACGGCGACGGTCTGGAGGCCGTGGTGACCTACGAGGGAGAGGCCCAGTACCCCGAATACAACCCTGCCCCAGCCTACAAGCCCGCCCCAGTCTACAAGCCCGCTCCCCCTGTTTACAAGCCAGCACCTAAGTACCCCCAGCCCCCCCAGTACCCCGCCTAAGTCATCACCCCGACTCTCAGCCGCTAACTGAGATGATACACCTCACACCTTCATCCCCCGTGAGATGAAGGACATAGTTTAAAGTGTCATCATATTTATTGTGCCATAGTCATATCAGGCTAATAATAAAACATGCATCTTCTGTAATTGTGGTTTATAGACCTACGTAAAGGGTATTAATGCTCTGGGTGTGTTGTGTGTTTAGTACCAGTGATCTGAATGTATATAAAGGATGGATATGGCTCGTGAAAATGTTTCTCCACAGACAAGAAAGAAGCAGCATTTACCCTTTTTGTCATTATTCATTAAGCTTACAAGAAACACTACAGGGTTTTATTTTTATTTTTTTGGAATTCATTCGTCTTAACCAATGCACCAAGTTAAAGAAAAATATCGTCTGTTCTTGTGTTCGCTGTTCTTATTCTTTGGTTATCTCGCTATAATTCTCTACATTGATTCCTTTTCCTGTTAAGATATCACACTGCACACTTTATTTTCATTACACAATTTCTATAATAATTTCTTACAAAACAAGTTAGTATCGGTGTCTTCTTTCTCACATGGTTATAGTCTAGTCTAGCGTCCCTCAACACACGGCAATCTGTGATCAAGTTTCCACCATACAGTTCTCTTATACTTGTCACATTAAAGAAGCTAAGTATGATCTGTAAATACCTTTTTCATCATCTTTATGTCTCTGGCCTGAGCGGGGATGTACGGTTTATCATTTATCCACAGCTTCTATTTTTATTTAATTCTTCTGTGCTAACAAAATATAGCCGCGAGTCCTCCATCACCCTGGTCTGAGTCTCACGAAATTCGGCTGCCTAGACCTTTCTCAAATACAGAGAAATAAACTTTTAATTTTGTATTTGTTTTAAGTTTAATCCAACACTACATAGATATATTTTGGCTCACAAGTTCTTCGCATTCTGATAAAACAAGATTACCTGTTGACGGCTTCTACACAAGAAGGTAAATCTTTTTATTTTTCTCATAAATTCATTTTACAAAGTTAGAAAATCATCTTCATTAGTAATTGACCGAATGTTCCTTTAACACGACTTTGAACAAGTACTTTGGGAACCTATCAAAGACAGATCTAAAAAAAAATTATGTTTTACATTAATTTGCAGAAGTCAAATGTTGCAACAGAAGTCAAATGTTGCAACAGAAGTCAAATGTGTTTTATAAGAGATTCCTTAATATTTTGGTCAATCAAGATCTTGGTTCACACAAATACATCTCGTTACATCCTGGAGAGACGATATAAACAAACTTGGAATTTGTCATTTTCCAGACTTTGCGGAATGAAACGTCACAAGAAAACGAGAAATTAAAGAGAGGTTGAGTCTACACCCTGGATATATTTGTACACACACACACACACACACACACACACACAGCTGAGAGCCAAATGTATTGATGGGTTCAGTTTGTATTATTTACGCTGACATACTGTACTCTGATCGGGAAGAGAGACACACTGTATTCAACTGAGATTGTCGGCAACACCAGTGCATGTTGGTGCCGCCAGAAAGATCATAGAGACCCACAAATATAAGGTAGGGTAAAGTATCTGGTAACGGTGTAAAAACCTCGCTTCCAAACGTACGATGACCTGTACTTGTCACTCAATTGAACCTTCTTTTCCTCTTCCTACCTCGTCTGGTCCCCCCTCTTATCGTTACATCATTACCAGATAAGTTGCCCTACCTTATAAGTGTTAAGTCTCTATGAGCTTATTTGCCCCGGTGTATGTGTTATTAATTCTCCAAAGGCTCTCAATTGTATAACTTATGACCTTTCACTATTTTTGATAATTATTGTTTTATTTACCACACATCATTATCCTCGTCTTTGTCTCTCACGTAGTTATTCTGTAAAACATTAATTTCCACCATTTGGTATTTTATGTGTGAGGTGGAGTTGCTGTCATTATTTTTTCTTAGTTTCTCTGTTGTTTTCTCTGAGGATATAATTGAGCCAAACTCCACAACAGCTGTGGTGAGAGATAATGTTTATTTTAATTGACTTGTAAATATGCTTTACCGTGTAACTGGATTCTTCTTTTAATGCACTTACTCTTATGTTGGGTAGATGAGGAAGAACAGATACATTTATAAACATTTAATACCATTATCATACATAACATACATCATACACAGCTAACACTATAAAACATACACATGTAAAATAAAAAATGAATACACTGGAGGTACACACTTTATTTATACTAAGACTGCTGAGTGGCATGTGTCTGTTACCTCTTAACCACGCTGTAAAAACATACGTATAAATTCAAGTAGCGAAATGTAACTTGAATAGGAAATAACTTTTTTTTTGTTGAAGTATTTTCTTCGATGAGAGAGAGAGAGAGAGAGAGAGAGAGTCGTGCACCGTCAAAGGTCTCAGTACACATATGGTTTACGGTAACCACTAGACCCTCTCACTCACTCTGAGGCTGAGGGAAGGTATGAGGAACAAGGAAGAGAGGCTGGAAGAATGATTAGAAGAATGACTGAAGGAGAGTAGAAGATAATAACCATAAAGAAAGAAGAAGACTGATAATTGTTGGGATGATCATAATAAATAGTTGGAAATATTAAAAGATGTGAAGAAAGAACAGAATGAATGACACAATAAAAAATAAATGAATAAATCAGAAAAAAATTAGTCCTGGTGAAGTTTGGGAAATATGAGTAAATGGTGTAAGAGATAGAAGAATTAAGTGTTAAATATTAGCCAAAAATCCAAACATTGACAGAGATAAATATTTACTACAATATTCAACTGGACTAAGCACCACCTCCCTTGATGCTTAGAATTATCAAGTTGTTATGAGCTGAAAGTGTAAGATTTCTATGTTCTTATGATAAACAGAGTCGTAAATGATATAAGGTTTTAATCTCAAGAATTAATTAAACACTATAAATTATCCCCGTGTGTGTGTGTGTGTTTGTCTGTCTCTGTGTGTTTAGGAAGTTAACACTGAGGAGTAATGAGAACTCAACAGTTGTGAATAATGAGGCACAGGTGTTGTTTTTTTTTATGCAAGAATCCAGCAGACGTGAGAGAGACGGAGAGTCTGGGAGGAAAGTGTGGAACTTGCCTTTTCCCTGCGGTGATAGAAAGTTGTTTCTTCTTCGTATAAATACAGCAAACACAACCTCTACCGTCATCAGTTACCTGCCATGTCGCTCAAGGTACACACACACACACACACACACACACACACACAACAATGCCATGAACAGGACTGGTAAAACGTTTATTGTTCAGACAAAACGAACAAACCAATCCTGACTAAATCTAACCTAACCAAATCTAACCTGAGGTAGTTTTGGTTAGGTTAGGTATAGTTGGTTTTATTATATTGACAAATCATTAGTGGTTCTCTTTAAACGAATTTTCCAAAAGTTTACATATTCCTACGGCCTCATCCTCTGTCTCTTGACTCCCTCACTTGGATATAATCAACTTTAATGAACTCTACATCGTACAGAACTTTGCAGCGAAGTGTTTGTTGATCAGAAGACTTTTCATGTTGCAGATTGCTGTCGTCGTTGCCTGTGTGGTCGTGGTTGTGTTGGGTGATCATCCACCTCCTCCTCCTCCAGTGTCCATCTACTCCGACCCTCCTCAGTACCACCCTCCTCCACGCTACCACGCCCCTGTTGAAACTTACCCTGACGTGAGTACTGATGCTTTCAAGTTTAATATATTATTTTTTCTTTTCCTCGGTTGATCGTTTTGTGCTGTACTGTGAGGGTATCTCCTGGCTACTGTCCAAAGTGTCAAATGTGGCAAATTTAACTCTTAGACATAGGGAAGTTGATGACTGTCTCGGTTCTTTCTCTCTCTGTGTCAGCATGAGGTCACAGTAACATTAGGTATATCACGTCATGAAGTATTAAATATGTAATATTATTCATTCAGTTTTTAAAAAGAAAAATCATACAATAATCCTTTGTATCATATTCTCAACGAGGAGAGAAAAGTTACAGCTGAGGAACCATGTACACTTCTTCCTCTCTCTTGTCCTAAATAACATTAAAGGATCATTTATTAACTTGTCTCCTTAGTATACTACAATAAACTCATATATCGTGAGGATGATTAATGAATTACTAACTCGAATTATTTAATTTACCAAAACGCCTTGGGTAGTGTGAAGGACCTTTGGCACAACTGACAGCCAGAGTTAAAGTGCCACCTGTGTGAGGATCCTGACCGGTTGTAGTAAGGACACGACGTTAAGTAGGGCAATATAGATGCATCACTGTGAAGGCCGCGTAATTACAGTATCTCGTCTGTGTAAAAGTTTCTTCTAACACTCCATCTCATCATTCAGGTCCCTCCCAAGTACACTTACAACTACGGCGTCGCTGATGGCTACTCCGGCGCCAACTACGGTCACTCCGAGAACCGCGACGGATACAAGACCGAGGGCAGCTACACGGTGGACCTCCCCGACGGCCGCCAGCAGACCGTTACCTATGTGGACAATGGCGACGGTCTGGAGGCCGTGGTGACCTACGAGGGTGAGGCCCAGTACCCCGAGCAACCTCCCTCTTACCCCAAACCCTATGCATAAGTTCACCTCGACTGCCGACTTTTTAATGCACATGTCCATTGTTGATCCTTACTGGCTTGAGGAAAATACGTTGTTTTAGCTTATTTGTTCGACACATCTTGTGTGCCATACTAGCATTTTCACTAAACGTTAAAATGTATATAGTTTCTTATTTTCCCAGCGTTTATATGAATCTTCTAAAGAAATCACCATTTTCAAAAGTTTGAAAAATATACAATAGGACAAAATTGTTGTTTTGTGCCGAGTGAACAGCAACACTGATATCAATGTTGGCCCAGTCGGTCCCTTTCAGCAGTTGACTCATTTGTTTCATTGCTGCTTCATTATGAAACACTTGGAACGAGTAAAAGAATTATGATAAGCTATATTGATAATATATAATTATTCCGTAGCATAAGATCGACAACGTTGTAAATCATCAGCGTATAATCCACTATTGTTTTGTTAAGAATATAGCTTTTAGGATGGTATGATCTCTGCCTCTTACAAATTTCAACAGTTAACCATGAAAGCAGATGACACGCTTCATTTTCTTTGAAGCTTTATATACTCCGGCTGACACGAACAAGGCTGTGAGGTAATTCCCTATTGTGTTGAGTCCTGTAAACATTAACAATTTTGTCTAAATACGTGAAAATTTTGTTTACACTCTCAGCATAAGTTGCTGGGAGTGTAATCTGCTTTCATGGTTAACTTTTCTTTATTTATGACGAAACGAATTATTTACTGGTGCTTGACATGCATACACACATACACGTATACATTCAGTGTGGAGAGAGAGAGAGAGTGAGGGAGAGAGAGAGAGAGAGTGTACAACATATGTCCAGTGTGTACATCAGCTGGTGGCTTTTATTAGTGGGTAACAGAACCATCACCAACACAACAGGTGACACAGCTCTCACTACCATTAGCGTTCACTTGGTCCCATTTTGTTTCATTTTGTTCATTAGAAAACGATATTGAATGTCTTAATGTATTTACAGGTGTAGATACAAGCTCGTGTACATAGGTGCGTGGACCAAGTACAGTTCACATTGTTCAGAATTGTTAGTCATAGAGGACTTCCTGGTATCATGCGGATGTTAAGTAAAGAATAAGTGAGAAATTAAAGTGTTAAGTGAGGAAACTTGGTAAAATCAACACTTCAGGGAGCTACATTTAGTAAAACAAACACACACACACACACACACACACACACACACACACACACTATTATGGAACCACCAACTACCTTAAACTATTGATGTATTTGTTGTAATTAATACCGTTTTATCACTCCTGATGGTTCACTGGTAATGTCCCCGCCTTCCGCTTGGTTATCAGCGGTTCGAGTCTCGGTGCTGGAAGTAATAATAATACAACAGCGGAAATTTGACTAACTTTTGATAATTATTTTTTTTATCCGGGTTCCATGTGAGGAAAACGTGACGCGGTTTCTAAATTATTCTATATGTCATTCAGTCGAAGTTATACTTAAAGGTGGTTGTTAGAAAGCTATTGTTGAATGTGGACATAACAACCATTGCTTCTTGTCACAGGAAGCGGAGGAAAATAAATTACGTAACTCAAAACAAACTAGTCCCTCAAACAAGCTCGTAAAATAGTTTCTTATATCGGTATTTAGCATATTGTACGAATAGTTTATATTTGATGAGACACTTTTGAGGTTATTAATGCGATATGAAGATAATGAAAGACTGAAATATGACGTTAGAAGCATATAGAACACACGCTTGACCAGTGTAGTTGACAACAGACTTCAGGGATTGAGGACGACCCGTGGTCCCTGATGTGACCGTGTGATTCCAGCCCCACTGCTCAGCGAGGGAGGGTGATTGCCGTGCTATTTTCATTTCCATCAGTGTTTAGACGGAACAACAGTGCCATGCCGTACCCCTGGTCTGGACTACATCAGAAGACAACTATTCAGAAACGTAAATCGTAGCAATGGTTTTTAATTAGACAAATTTAGATTTAGGCGCGAGATAGGTAAATATTGGTTTGGAAATATAGTGGATGAGTGGAACAAGTTACCAAATATCATCAATAACTCGAATACATTGGATAGCTTCAAACATAGGTTGGATGGATATATGAGCGATAGGGGTTGGGTGTAAACAGGACTGCCCAATATAGGTCAATAGGCCCGCTGCAGTTTCCTCCATTCTTATGTTCTTAATTCCGCCACCCTACTTGAGGAATTATTGCAACATCATCATGACTGTGTTTTATGTACTAGTATACGTCAGTTCCCTATCATTTGTTTACGTTTGCGTGCAGTCATTATCAACGTTCCAAGTAACTAGTTGCCTCACTTGATCATTTGAATCATATGAAGAGTAGGCCACCCCTGCTTACTGCATCTGATGATTTACTATTATAATGTGAGTTTGTGATTCATTTTTTTTCTATCCGCTAGCTAGTATAGGAACGCTTGTGGGGGTGGGTGGGGGGGGGGTGGGTGAATAATCTACGTCACAGTGTTCTTTGGTATAACGTTTACTTCAGTTATTACATCATTTTTGCCGACGTACCAGACGCATTTGTGCTTAAGTAGTAGTTACACTATTCCAAGTTGTCTGATTATTGCCCGTCTGTTTCTCGTTGTCTTTCTCTCATCGATTCATCCTCGAGTTATTCTTATTTTTATTTCTTGTTTATCTGGTTTTTCTATCGTTTTCATTGCTTCACTTTGAAAGTTTCCGGTCAGTTCCTTATTGGTGATTGTGGTGTTGGCTTTTCCTACACCGAATTGATTAGACTAGGCGGTCTATTACACCCACACACCCGGCACACAGTTGACGGGTGTGTGATGTTTGCTAACTGTTCACTGGTAGTTTAGGTCCTGGCTGTGTGAGTCCAACCTCCATTAAAGTAGTTTTGGCTCGACATCTGATTTGAGAGTAATTTTGATGCACAGATCGATACTAAACTTAGTCAATCAAGGCTGAAAATGTTAAAAGAACTACTGCATAGGTTTCACCATTGTGTTTTATTGATTAATGGATTGAACGTGGTAGGAGTAGCTCTGGAAGATTAGCAGTACTTATCTGTTTCACGTAGGTCCTAATGTATTGTTTGTTGTTGAATAAATTATGATTATAAATTGTCTGGGTGATTTACAGAGTGTTTGAAATATTTACAGTGAATTATTTACAAAGTTTACAGAATTGCTTAGTTATTTAGAAAGTGTATCGAGTTATTTAAGAGTTATTTACAGAGTGTACAGAGTTTTTTTTAGAGTTTTTCAATTATCAGTGTTTGAGAATATAACTTTATTACCGTGTCTGAAACTTTGTCTTGTTTTAAGGGTCAAATAATTTATCAAATTCATCATCTTGCCAGTTGTAAAAAAATATTCATAACTGTACATATATATTTTTTTTTAATTTTAAGGGGTGTAAATTTGAATTACCTTAAGAACTACTTACCTACAGTTACTTATATTAAAAAAAAAGTTTTATTCGGGAAATCAAACCACAAGAAAATTCAAAATCTATTGCTTATATGATACACAGTAATGAGCATACAATATATTGTATCTAATACATAGGTTGATGGCCATCTAGTGCGGAGTATCACATGGGCTCAACCTATAGCTCTCTCCGTCTGGCTGTCTGGGCACCTTTGTGGTTTGTTACAAGGAATGAGAGTTGTTCTCATGTGTAGTGGACAATGGGGTATGACTTTGTCTCTTCTTGATGATGATTGGTTAATAGTAGGCAAATGGGGTGATATTATTTGTCTTCAAGGTGATGATTGGTTAATAGTAGGCAAATGGGGTGATATTATTTGTCTTCTAGGTGATGATTGGTTAATAGTAGGCAAATGGGGTGATATTATTTGTCTTCAAGGTGATGATTGGTTAATAGTAGGCAAATGGGGTGATATTATTTGTCTTCTAGGTGATGATTGGTTAATAGTAGGCAAATGGGGTGATATTATTTGTCTTCAAGGTGATGATTGGTTTATAGTAGGCAAATGGGGTGATATTATTTGTCTTCTAGGTGATGATTGGTTAATAGTGGACAAATGGGGTGATATTATTTGTCTTCTAGGTGATGATTGGTTAATAGTAGGCAAATGAGGTGACATTGTTTGTCTTCTAGGTGATGATTGGTTAATAGTGGGTCATTGTTTGAGAGATTCTGTAGCTATTGATTGGTTCTACAGTAGTGATGGGGTGTTGTCGGTATAAAAATGGGGGTATGAGTTCATTTTCCCTTTTGGGTGGCGAGTAGCAGATGACAAGAGGTGGATCATGATAAATATAACAGTCAATAATGGCTCTCTTCCGCGTAGGCTGCGTCTGTATGGCGATCGATGCAATGTTGGGAGGGAATCACGTATGTGTTCACAGTTGGCAATTGACCAGAAACTCGGAGGTGGGCGGAACGAATGTACTATATTTTAAGTGTTAAATGAGTGACTGGGGACATCTGAGGGTTTATATTTATCTAACAATATTAACTTCAAGCAATTAGAGGTCATATAAGGTTTCAGTGGATTTTTATGACATTTATTCAATCCATTAAGATATGATCATTAATGTTTAGTTATTCCTTTACACTTTAATGTTACTCTGATTGTGACACGAAGTCCGAGAGTCACAAGACGGAGGAGGCTATAGCCCCTTGAGCGTTAACTATATCGCTAACCTGTAGTGACGAGGTTAACACTGGCAGACGATGGGTTAAGACAGCCTTAACAACTTGACACAGAGGAGTCGCGTTTTCACCACACACACAATGACTTCTTTTTATTGTGATTTAGAACAGAGGAGTAATGGGGGTGGCTGGCTGATCGTGTATAAACGTTAAATAAGTAATGTCGTTGGTCTAGTGTCCCTTATTACCAACACAGATTCATATTTTACTTAATTTCTTGAATGTAAAAGTAAAAATATAGTCTTATCGTTTTTAGTTTAGGTTATTCAAATAATTTATATATTTTTTGTTATTGTTTTGGTTTCGTAAGATTCCGATTATGATAAATACTTGAGAAAATGTGATCCTCGACACGTACAGGAGAGATACAAGTCGGTGTTAGTGTTAGGTTGACCATCACTTTACCCACAAGTTGTAAAACACACACACACACACACACACACACACACACACACACACACACACACATCCT